AATTCCCCACCCATGAAACCCTATAACCACCGTTTTCGTAGGAAAACATGCATGGAGTATGGATTAATGACTGGGCCTACATAAGCTACTGTTGCCCAGCCGAGAAAGGTGCTTAGCTCCTGATGGTTGAAAGGACCATGATAACTGCAGCACCCTGACGAAGGCCTTTTGGGTGCGACGGTTTGTGTAACCAACTGCAGTAGCTTCTACCGCAGCCAACAGACATGGTCTAAGGAATGTTGAGTAACTGGAGGGTATCTTGTACATCTCCCTGATAGGTTCTGCGGCATTTACGAGATTATCTGAGTCTAACATGCTGGAAGATGTTCTCGTATTCTTTCGGACAAACGGTGACTCGTGCGACCATTATATCCTGCCCCACAGGAGAGGGTAAATCAAAAGATGCACATAAAGGTGGTGTAGGCTGCCCGTTTGTCATTGATTTCTCGTATGTGATGGGAGCATAAATATACAGGCCCGCAGAGAATGCTTCGAAAACAGACAAATTCTCGCCCACCTATATTTAACTGCATTATATGTCTGCCTTTAAAAAGCGGTCATAGCCCCCCTATTGATTTTCATAATGAGCACTGGCCTGAAATTAAAAGTCTCTCACATTTTACTTGCACGAGAACCATGGATATTGTTACTAAAATAAACCTGAAGACTAGTGGCGTGTATAAAGTCCACGTCAACTTTAATGGTGAACCTCATAGAAAATTGACGGGATCATATGCATTTTTCATGTTTTACTCAGTGTCAATTACTGCCAAGTAAAACAGAAAGTGCGAGCCGATTTATTTTTGGCCGTTGGGTGTCTGCAGTTAACATTTAGTCAAAAATAAGAAGCCCGCTCCGGTTAGCATAGTAACCGGAACGTTGCTGTTTGCTCATTCGTGTTTGTGATGTACCTATCAGCTCGAGCACGTGCTTAGTTGAGTTTTGGCCATGGGATTAGTTATTATGGGGCTGCGAAGGGGCGCATGACTTCGGAAGGCGAGGGAGGGGGAAGATGCCAAGAGTGGCAAGCCATGTCTGCTAAGCGCCTGAAAATGGGCTCTTGGAGCGGCTGTTAAAAGGCAGACAGGTAATAGAGATTACAATGCGCAAAACATGCCAAGAATAACTTCGACCGAAAGCTCAGGTCTAATCGAAACCGTAACGTTAACTCTAATCTCCCCGGAAAGTCGCGCAAGGTTCTTTGAATGGCAAAGCTTCCAATTATCTTGCCTGGATAACTGCTATTTAATAAGCTTGTTCCCTTCTTAATATCTCATGCCTCTTATATTAAAAAAATATTATTAGCAAACGTTGGGTCACTGACGAACGCCTCACTTTGTAGAACCGCCGCAAATCGTCACGCGTATAGAGGTACAGTCCGTGACCTCATTGGAGCCGGCTAGATCAGGCATGATACAGCCGTATCAAGTACAAATATGTACCGGTTAAGCTCAGCCCAATATACCCACCCGCCATTTGACCAATAGCTTAAACGCAGAGTGAATGAATTGTGAACCCAGACATTTTCGTACTACCTCCCTTCTTGGTGACAGAGCATTTTCCACATTCTAATCTTCTTTTTTCATAAACATCAGGCACAAAGTGTACCTACTTTGTTGTTTGCTACATTCTCCACAGATGACTGTATCCCATTATCATGTGCCCCTGAATATCACGTGGCTTTACGGGTGATATGCACAGCGCGTGCACGCATTGATTTGAGCGCAGCCCACGTCGTGCTATTACTCCTCTAACAAACCCTCTACACACAGGCCCAACGCTACATTTTGGAGTCTGCGTCATGTCGAGTATATGCATCGCAGCACGGGTTACAGTCTGCCATTAACTCCT